TGGCAAGTCATTCACACACCTTCTCTGAAGTTGATGCCAAACACAAGTTGGTCTCTGACCCTATCATCTGGGTCAGGATATTTGTAGCTTTTCAATAGCATTTTCATTCTTATGAGGAACTGCTTTATCATATACATCCTTTGTTTAGCATCCCATCGTTTATACTGTATGAATATTGGGTTTATCTCAGGCTATCTGAGCACGATTTTTTAAGTGTTGAAAAGATGCTGCTATCTGGCGTCTTTCATTCGGTGTCATGTTGGACCAGGTTTCATAGATTTCTCTTTCCTTTTCTGTTTACTCAGAGAAGGAAATATGTCACTTGTAATTTTTCTTCCTTGTCTCTTAAGGGGTCATCAGTTCTACCATTGACTGGAACTTACATTTATAAGAAATTTAAGCTGCACAAGTGTACATCAGCCTTTCAGAGAGAAAGCAAACTGTGATGGGCTCTTGCTTAATTTTTAAACATATTTATGGTACATTTTGATTAGTGGTGAAACAGCTGTATTTGTTTTTCATTCAAAACCAATAAAAGGGTTTCCTCAAAATTCCAAGCAGCATATTTGAAGCTCTACCAGTATGTGAGTTATGTGGGACCTTGGACTTGAATTTCCAAGTAGACAAACAGCTACTATAAAGAATTCTGGCAACTTGTTGTGAAAGAAATTGATGCAAAAGAATTTAGACAACAACCAGACAATAATTGAAAGGAATAACTCAGTTATTCACATATCAAGGGAATGTCTTCAGTTGGTGTGCTTGATATATGCTTCATAGTTACATGGAAATGGTGTACCAAATTTTTCATTGAAATCTATTCAGAAGTATTTCTCTTTTTCTTCACTTTCAGAGGACCTTCTTATGCAACAACTTAAAAGGCGTTATTTCATTTTCATTATTTGCATGTTATTGGCCATCATTAGGCACACAAAGTGTGGGTGTGTAAATTATCATTTTTAAGCTTGGATTGTGTCATCTGTCTTTGCTGTGTGATGATAATTTGGATGTTACTCCAAGCATTTTTACTTAATTATTTCATTCACGGAGCTTTAAACAACAGGAAGAAAAAAAAAAAAACCTAAGACAACCAACATCACATTTCTTGAATGTATTACACCTTAACACAATTTAATTATTTAAAAACTTAAGCTTCAGCTATTTTGGAAATTAAAATACCTGAACTTTTTTTTCAAAAGACCCAATAAATTTGTTTGGCCAATTAAACTATAAAATAGTAAGGCTATTAACTTTCAAAAAAATTTAGTATAAAAATGTGTGAATTTAGATGCTTGAATAAGAAAGACAATTAAAATATGAAATAAGCATATATCTGAACAGCTTAAAGATTGAGTAGTGTTATAGGTGATTACTCCTTTTTCAGTACAAAAACTAACTTAAGTACTTTAGAGGACTTTAAAAGTACTTCTAAAACACTGAACGAGTTAATAAATAGCCCAATATATATACTGAAAAGATGATGGGAAAGTCAGTAATGGTCCACGGGACTAGAATTTCTGAATTCGGAGGAAGATAGGGCTGGAACACCTTATTTATTTTCACACAAAGAAAAGGAAAATTGATATTTTCCTTACTTTATTTTATCAGTTGTCAAAAGAAAAGAATGAATTTAGCAAAGTTGAATCATCAAAAGGTATTGGTTAAAACTTGTCAACAGAAACGAATCAATCTAGCAAAGCCAAATCACCAAACAAAATCGTTTAAATGGAAATCCGAGTTAGTGAATTTTCCACATTTTATGAGAAAATATGCCATATCATAAATTTCAAACTTGGCTGAATTTTGAGAAAGTGAGTTCCAGTCATCAAGGAAATCTGATACAAATACTAGATAACAGAACAATGGAGTTAATGATTGATGACAGGGAAAAAAACAAATGGGGAGTGGAATGATGGAGAGAAAGTTAATAATTCCCAAAATTAAAAATGTTTAGACAACTGAAGGACTAGATAAACACACAGGCACATATTCAGACAATTATTTTGAAGAAAAAAAAAAAAAATTTGGAGAAAAAAAAAAACAAACACTTTGAACCAAAAAATATGAATTAATAAAAGAAATCATGTTAAAGTGTAACAGGACAGACATGGGTGATATTATTTTGTATTGCAAAAAACTAGCAAAGGACACTACAGAGAAACTTGGATGAACATTTTTAAAAATACTCCAAATTTAAATAATATAGTACAATCAGCAGCAACAGATGTTAACATAGAAACAAAAGTAACTCCAATTTGGGAGAAAAAATACTTTCAAATTATAAAAAGTATTAACGTTTTCAAAGAATGGTCCATAACATAAACAGAAGAATTTGCAAGACACACATTTGAGATTTGTCACAACCTCAAACCCAAAATTAATGGATTACACATAACTGGAATAAGCAATTCTGTGAAATCGTACATTCTAAGATCTATTAGAAATGGATTAATGAACTGACAATTTTACCTTTGGAAGCTGCATCGACAAATCCTTAACATCACAGATGAAATGTGGTTCACACCACAAAATGTTGAGGAGGATAAATGCATACTAGAAGATACAGAAACTTACATAAATATTAAACATCAATTTGAAAGGATACTAAAAAGAACACCATGTCTGAGCACCAGAAAAACAGACCCTGGAGCATTGCATTACATGAAAAAGAGGCCATTACGAATCATATATATATATATATATATATATATAGAACAAACAGCCCAATGGATAAATTAAAGGAGTGAGGTATTATAGAATTAAATCCATTAATGTGGCTGATCATAAGGAAACCACAAAGAAATAATAAAAACCAGACAACAATCTCCAAAACCAGCCAAACATTGCTTATACTTAGATGACAACATTGCATCACCAACAAAAAAAAAATAATTAAGATCCAAGAAGAAAACTAGAAATAGAACTAAACAAAGCAGCAGAAATATAAACACTGTTAACTCCAGGATGTAGATATGACAAAGAGCAGCCTGCATAATATTGCAAAACTCACAAGTGACCAATAATAGACTGCAATTTCTTATATGAGGACTACTACATAAACAAGATAAAACAATTCACCACACCAACAAATTCACCAAGATGGGAAAATGAACACATCATTAACTTGGACATTGTAACAATATTTAACATGGCGTATGGATGAAAAGGGTCAAACAAAAAGATTTTTTTTTTTGTCAGAAAGAGACTTATTTTCCCAGGATACGGGAACAGATGAATGAATTTTGTTGAAAAAGTTACACAATGCGATTAAGCTGAACACAGCTGGCAAGTCAGGGGCCGGAGGTTAAGGTCGTCTGCTGAAAGGTGTCAATGGGAAAATTGTCAGCCAAAATTTCCCGAGAAAAAAAATTAAAAACAGAAGATGATGTCAGGAGGACTGACATCATATAATGGCTCCTCCCGATAGAGGAGGAGATCTCTCAAAACTGAAAGTGTGAAATAGAAAACAAAAGAAAACAACTGGTTGAATTTTAGGAGATTTGCATAAAACCCACCTATTTGCCTGCACCACACCAGTTGGAAGGGACACTCATAAATACAAGTGCCCACGGGGGCCAAAGTTAGTCAGAGGCAGTTGGAGCCAGTTGCAGTAGCAATTACAGTCGCAGTGAAGTTGTGACCAGAAGTTAAGAGATTTCTGACATAACGCTGTTTGAAACATGATGAAAATAATAATAATTATCTGCTGAAGAAGAAAAACTCTGATGAAATCCTTGTGCTGTCTGTGAAAGTACAAAACACAGTACTTGAAGTTAAATCCAGTTGTCACCGAAGAAAGACTCCGACAATAAACCGTGTGCCATTCTAGAAAGTACAAATCACAGTACTTGAAGATAAATCCAATTGTCAAGTCTGGCCACCCTTAAGGAAGTTACCCGAAATTTTCGTTCCGTTGCCAATTATTAGAACAGGTTGGGAAAAGAAGAAAAAGAACAAAAAAAAAAAAAAAAAACCCAAAAAACTGTAAATTTTTTTTTCTTTTGTTATTTTGATATAAACATCATATCATGACGTATTCAGGCATTGTCCATTTTATTTTTCAATTTTGTGTATGTGTGTTCAACTCCTTGGTTTAGTGTGGTTGAGATACCCCAGTGGAAATTCGGCTTGACTCTCTTAAGATCAAAATCATATGGGTAAGAGAGGTCATAGTTGAAGAGGTCAACTTAAAGGCCAGCTGCTGTGTCAAATGCCATCAACAACCGACGAGTAGGCTGACGGCTTGTTCTGATACCAGGATTGATCCTGACCAAAGCAAGCAGACTGAGATTATCTCAGAATGCCACCATAACTGGTGGCTGAAGCAGGTCGTGGCCCAGAACACTGTCATAATTGGTGCCGTGGCCAGGATGTAGCTCAGAATGCAGCCATATTTGGTTGCCGTGACCCAGAACATGACACTAAATGACCACATAAATTGGTGCAGTGACCAATGGAATCGATTCTGAGAGACCACTGCATCAAGGAGAGAGCGAGAACTGAAGGGACTTTGGTCATTTTGACCATAAGGTTCGAAACGCTCAGAAACAAAAAAAAAGAAAGAAATTTTTGTCGTCCAATAAACAGAGTGAGACCAACCCAGAGCCAGGTAGGACACTTTTTGGTTTCTCCCTGAAATTTTTACGATTTGTTGTTGCTTGTCATTTCCGCAATCGATTTCCTTCAATTATAGACTGTTGTTTCTCGGAATTTATTTAAATGCCTGACCATGGAGAAGAGGATATTGGGATGATGGAAGTAGAGAACGACGAGGTGGGACAACAGATGTCCACTGAGTTGAGGGGTCTACTAGGGGGACCCAGAGTTTTGGGGGAGATGCGGGAGAACTGAGGGGCTGGCTAGCAGCAGTTAATAAAAGCCAATTAATCTATGAATTGACTGAAAGAGAGACGGTATGTATTGCGTTCGACGCTGCGACAGGAGCGCCATCAGAGTTTATTAGCAAATTAGAGAGAGATCCACAGTTGACGTGGAGGAGGTTAGAGGAACGCTGCAGAGTATGCAGATGAGGGAACAGCAATAGAGGTCATGAGAGGCTTCATGAGACTGGCCCAGGAAAGGAATGAGGGACCAGAGGAACTGGGGAAAAGAGCGAAGAGACTAGCCTCTCCGGCTTTTCCTGAAGAGGTTAGAGAGAATGCAGCAATCCAGGTCCAGTTGGCAGACCTGTTTGTTGCAGCACTCCAAGACAAGCATATCCAACATGAGATTCACCGGCGTTAAACAAATTAGATCAAGCAGCTAAAGAATACGATTTAGCATACAACAACCCCAACATCACCACAAGAGGCAAATGAAAAATTTCTCAAGGACACACAAGGGACAGGATTTGTTGGAAGTCTCGCAAGAGCAGCAATCAGAGCTAAAAGAGCTCTTGAACTTGACGACTACTTCAGAGGCGATATCAACAGCATCGACGATAATACTGACGTCACTGATTATGTACCTAATATACAAAACATGGAAAATGATGATTTGGGCGCACAAACATTGTCAGACAGCATGATGGGAATGGATGGACGGCAACTGCTATAAAAAAAACGGTTATCGCTGGCAAGTTCAAATTACATACAAGAATACTGTTTCGATAGGAACATTCACTAAATATCATGGACAAACAACAGCGACGGGTAACATAGAACCTATAAACTCAATAGGGCACTTCGCCTGGGCACAACCAGAATCAGCTGAGTACATCGTTCTGTACTTCCTGACCACTTGGGTAACTCCGCCGAAATAGGAAGCAACAATAAGAAATGCGACATCATACAGAGTAACTAAACATGGATTCAAAATAGACAATATCATAGCAGGAGAATGGATGACTAAAAACGAGGAGGTGTTCATTCCAAATCCTCTGCCATATTTCGAACTATACGTAGACAAGGGAAATTACATAGGTTACAGAAACTTACAAGGTATAACAGGCGTACCGAACAAAAACTTCACAGAAATACAGCTGATGAGAGGTATGGATGCAGAACTGCCTTAGATACAAATATTCATACGGGTGTCTGACACATTTATTAAATATTATGCCAAACAGCACGTCACAAATTACAGTGTCGAACTTGCAGACTGAAATACCCATGATAGACTTACACGACTGAAGGGAAATGGACAACGTAGTCAAACTTAGACAGGGAAACACGTTCACACACATTTGGAATAACCCAAGCCTACTGCGAAAGCCGCTGACTAACATATACATGCAAGACAACTACACAATAATGGGGGCAATCATGGCAGAGTCACACCTAATATCGTTGAAAATTCAATCCGGTTACCCAACAGCCTGGGACGGTGAACTTGACGTAGCAACGGGTCCCAAATTTGGTATGTTAGCAAAGGATGCAGAGTCGAACTGGTGAGAATAGAAAGAGAATGAGAGCAAACAATCAGGAGGACATGGCAATGACTGAAATAGCAGACATAAATTACGACTTCCAAGAGACAGTCAGAGATAAAAGTGTACCCATATCAAGTACAGACAAAAATTTATTCAAATACATATCAGGTTCCTTCTGTGTAGCGAACAGGACGGCAATAAACAAAATCCTATAGATGTCAGACGACAGCCCGTAAATGGTATTGATACACATACTGTCGATTCTTAGGCCGAAAAGCCAATCGAGGACTCTATACTTTACTTTCGAGTTGACCTACATGTTGGCCCTCAGAAGGTCCCGGTAACAAACAAGGTCTGCACTGAGGCAGCGGGTGGGGCCTGACATACATTACGACCGCTCACTGATCGTACCGCTGAGCAGACACTTCCACAGCCAAATACCAAAGGGGATGGTCCACAGGAGAACCAATAAGGTGTTCACAAGCATCTCTGATAAGAAATCTGTGGGCGTGAAAAGCGGCAATTACATGAAAAGTGAGGTGTTTATAAACAGAGAAAAATTTGGCATGAGGCACAAATGACAAGGGACTCCGAAGAAGTGTTAACTATAAAGGGAAGGGACGATGAACAGCAAGAACGAAACTCCGAAGACCTTTACTGCGAAAGACTGCACTGAGAAAGAAGAATTCAACAAACAGATTCTTCAATGCGAGAAGTCAGGAGATAAGGTCCTACAATGTTACACATGGATTTATCGATGCGAGTCTCCAAACGAATTCCAGATTCAAACGCCAACCAGTAATGAACTGATGAACGGTAGAAAAGCACTACAAGGACCGGACAGCGAGAAGAGATACTTACTGAATGTGACTGAGAATTGCCCGAATATCATCGTGTATTATAGAGCCAGCCCAAGTAAATTAAAAAACTGTAGTGACGTAGATCACTTTCATATGCTCACCTGGCACAGTCAGCATCTTACATGCCTACATTCCTTTAATATATTGAAGAAACTATTAAAGACAAGGGGATCAGGTCTGTACACTGTGTCGGCACAAAAAGTATACAATCCTCACAGACACAAGACCCGGCGTAGAAGTACGTGATAGCAGCAGGCAACATCAGGACACCGGGACAACATAAAATGCTATACAGACTAACAGATAAACGACTACAAAGCAAAGATCGTATTTCCTCCAATGAAGACAACATCTTAGAAGAGAGAAAAACAACAGTCCGAGGAAATAAGTACGATTTCATTAAGAAAATCATGAAAAAATGCAACAGTACAGACATGGCCAATGTCATGCTGTACTGTAAAAACACACAAAACCAATATTACAAGACGTGGGAGTCAATTCACAGAAACACTTTGAACCTGAATAACATAATTGCCAGAGTGGCGACAGACTGCCATGCCAAAACAAAGGTAAACCCAATTTGGGAACAAATCAGAGCAAAGAATGAATACTTCCAACAACAGAAAAATTATTACTGGCCCATCGCCAAAAGTTTAGCCATATTCGAGGAATGGTGCAGTTTTCACCAATCGACATCGACAAGTTCGCCAGGGAAATATTCGACGTGTGTCACAAAATCAATCCAAAGATTAACGGCCTACACATCACAGGTGTGAGCAACTCAGGCAAATCTTACATATTAAGATCAATGAAAAATGGACTCATGAATTGCGGACAGATGAGGTGCCAGGCGTCTGACAGCTTCACGTTTGGTAGCTACGTCGACAAGACGCTCATCTACACGGACGAGATGTGGTTTACACCTAACAACATAGAGGAAGCAAAATGCATCCTCAAAGGCACCAAAACATACATGAATGTGAAACATCAGAGTGAGAGAATCCTGAGACGCACGCCATGCATCAGCATGTCAAATGAGGAGCCTTGGCAACACATACTGTGTGATAAACAAGCACTCCTAAACTGAATGTTTTACTACGAAACAAGCCCCATGGTCACCTTGAAAGAATGAGGTAAAATAGAATTAAACCATCTGATGTGGCTAACAATTTAGAAGAGACACATTAACGCATACATATATAATGAACACTCACAAATAGAAGTCGACAAATACCACATCGAACCAAAACCTGCTACAAAGTGCCTATTCAAAACAGTAGACCTGGAGTCTCCGAAACAAAAAATGGAACAACGCTTAGCAAGGAAAAGACTGGCCGAAGATGATCTTGCCGACTACGTACCTCCTGACTTGCCGGGATGCAGACTGGACCCGTCATACAACAATCAGGTGTGTAAGACACACAATTGTAAGATGGAAGACTGCTACTGGCTAGGGCCTGAGGGATATCTACTTATTTCAATACAATTTGTGAATTTGTCTGAGTTTTTAATTCATGTATATTCTTTTTTTCTGTTAAGAAATAACAAAGAAAACATGCCACTAAGCTCTAAATTTTTTTGTCTCATCCATTTCGGTACTTTTTAATTGTTTTTTATATATTTTTTGAATTTGTGAATTGTCTTTAATTCATTTATATTTCTTTCTTTTAATTAAGAAATAACAAAGAAAACATATCCCACCAAGCACTGATTTGTGTCATCTATTTTCCAAAGAAACACCAAAAAACATTTGTTTTTTGGTGTGTTTTTTTAACCTATTTCAATAAATTATCTGAATTTGTGCATTTAGATAGATTACCTTAATTATAACTTTTATTCTTTTAATGTATTTTCTTTTTGTTTCAATGAATATTTACAGTGCTTTGTGAGTCGTATTTCACTCCTTATTAGTTTCCATTTCAATTAAAAATATAACCTAGAATTGAAACCCAATGATGACATTGTTTCTTCATTCAATTTATTCAAGTACTAATTAATTTCTCCATTAAATCTATTTTAGTTGGCAATTAATTTTCTTTTTTTCTCTGAAATTTCCAGATGAATAAAACTGAACAACTCTTAGTAAAACATTGTGCCGTGGAATCTGGACAGCCAGTTTTCTGTGGCCATATTTTTCTAAAATTTTTCAAAAAAGTCATTGAGGCCAAAGAAAGATGGGCATCTTATGAGAATGCCAAAATTGATTTTCCTTATGAACTTTCAACGAATTTATAAATTTAGGCATCAAGGTAGAAATTTTTTTTAAATTTGAAAAAAATCTGCAAAGAATTGGCACATTCTGGTACCTCGGAAGCTCCAGTGGAGACACCAACACTTAATGAAAAAATAAAAAAGAATGGGAGTGTCTAGACAAAAAAAAAAAAAAGGGTCCATGCAACTGACATGCAGGAAGATTCATTATGCTTGTTTGTTAAGTGGAGTTGCAGTAAAGAATGTTCCAGGACTTTTAACCAAATTTTTCACTCTCATGCCGGAACCAAAATTTGAGATCAAATCTGAAACTAGAGTTGGCTGAATGGTGGGTGAACAGGGTTTTTATTCAGATTTAAAAACAAGCATTTCCATTCTTGCATCATATAGCTGCATTCAGCAGCATCTGGTGTGAGTGTTAATAACACTTATCAGAAATTAATTTCAACAATAAAGTGCTGTTTGACTAATCGGGCTCCAGTTAACCACTTGACTGTTTTCCTACTTGAAATAGAGTGGAATAAAAGTTTAATAGAATTAAACTGTAATGTGCATCCTTTGGAAGCAGTTTCCTCTAGAATTAAGGAACTGCATGCATGTGAATGCAAGATAGATTCTACTGAGTGTGTAGCAGCTTATAGCACTGAATTCATTAAGATTCAGTGATAAATATCATCATGTAATCTTAATGAAGGAATTCATTAACGAACAAAGACTGCCTTTGTCTGCAATACCAAGATTTCTGGGGCACAGATTGTACATTATTTTCAAATTAGGTTGGGTGTATTTTACAATATTTAATAACTTAAAGTTTGTCCATGACCTTACAGCAACATATAAAACTGTTGAAAAACTTAAAAATTTACTTACATATGAAGCAGCTGCTGTTGAATTGCAAGTTCTTGGAATAGTGGGGAAAAGGTTTTCAGGACCATGGATGAAAACTTTCTACACTGATTTGAATAAATCACAAAGCCCAATTAACACAATGCACATAGTAAAGGATGTAATTCAAAATTTAAGCCAATTTGTGGACTCTACAAATGTTACAAGCAGGAAAAGATTTCTTTGGCAACATGTTACCACAAGAAAAATTCATAGTTGCCCCACCTAATCTTTGTTTATTTCAAAAGATGATGACTGCCTGCATAAAAGGAACTATTGAAATATTAGAAAGACAATACAGAAAATTCTTCAATACAGTGAATGCCTCAGAGAATCTAATTACACAAAGCTGATAATGGGGGGCGAATGACCGTGATTCAATCCGATTTTTTCTGGTTGATAACTCCAAAACGATAGGTTTTATCATAATTTAATTGTTAATTCGAGTTCAGCATGTACATTTATACGGAAATATGACGAAAAATTTTAATAGATATTTAGCTCGGGGATTGAAAAGCAAATTTACCATTAAGTATTTTTTTTATTATTTTTTGAAATTTTTTTTTACTCCTTTCCAGCACGTTCAAAATCACGGTTAAAAATCTTTTCTTTTTTTTTTTACAACAGCAGCAAACTAAAGAAAAAGGTTTGTTTTATTTTGTGCTTTTTCTTTGGAAATTCTTGCAAAATTCAAATAATTGTCAGATTTTAATGAAACTTTCAGAGACATTCAGAAATGAAAAATTATTTTTGAAATCTTTTTTTTTTTTTTTTTTTTAAATGTTACTACCCATTTACATAATTTCATGAAATTGAGAAATTAAATATTTATGGGTGGGGTTATTAGTTCGAAACAGGAATCTTTGGAGAAAGTAAATTAATTATTTTGTGAAACAGTTACCTCTTTTGTTGAAAATCTGCCCCGAGTTGTAAAATAAAAAATGCAATAAAACTATGACATTGTGGACTCATCCAATATCTTCACCTTTTCTAACCTAAAAAGGTACAGTCCACATCTACGCCTACGTACTAAAAAACCTCAACCAATAGAAATGGCGAAAATCGAAGCAAGCAATTCCATTGGTCAATCGTTTACAGAAACAGAAATTGCGCCAAAAACGAAGTTGAGCCACTTTTGGAAACTCAAATAATATAAAAGGAAAAGCAGACAGCCCCATTCAGTCAGTCTTGCTAACTCACCGAGTAATTGCTAAAATACTCCACGACGTTCGAACCATAATTTTGCCGCTTTCAAAGAACATTCACTGACTCACTCTGAACATTCGACTAACGATTCTTGAACCTTTACTTAGTTCCTTATATATAATGAATTATATTCATTACTAAGATAAGGAATACAAATACGATTAAGGGTAGACTACTTGAACAAACTCTTTTTCAGAACCTTTAAATTTCACTATCACAATCTTGACACAAACAAGAAATTAACAAACATTTGAAACAAGAGACATTCATTATTTCAAACATACACATACAACTTATTTACACAATTCACACAGATTTTATTCCAGATTGTAAATGACAATTGTATATAAATGTTGTATTGTTTTTAATCTATATATGTCTCTGTTTTCTTGCTTTGAACATAACGATTGTTTGTTTATTTGTTTGGGACGCAGTGAAACACACAACTATTAACAACAAATCCTTCTGATAGATTTAACGACACTAATGACCCAACAAAAATGGTGAACCCGACGTGCGAACAAAAATGGTCACCCCGACGTACCAATTAAAAATGGTGACCCAGAACGTGAGTTGAACACCCAACAAAATTTGATCACTCCGACGTGCGAACTATTTGGTGACTGACCAACGTTAGTTGAACACACCCGACCAACTAATTTCATCACCCCGACGCGCGAATTAAATTTAGTGATACCTGACGTTCACATATAAAAAAAAAAAATAAAAC